CTCTCCTGTAGGTAGTAGAATGTCCCTTTTAAATAAAATCACAGCTCGTTTAGGTCACTAAAAGCAACATTGGCCAACTGAACAGCATGCTGGGAAGAAAACCGAGATAGTAAGCTAGGAAGCTTGCAGAATTAACCGACAAATTGGATCAGGCCTGACAGGTATACAAGCCATTTACCTTGATTGACTACTTTGAATAGGTGTTGATGAGACAATGTTGCAAGGTTTCAGATGGAACAATAGATCAGAGAGTCGGTTGAACTGTTTTTGAAACAGCCAGGCTTCCAGGGTTGACTCAATCAATTGGGAAATTACAATATCCAATACTGTCTTTTATAACACCTTTTCCTGGGACAGAAACTCTTTCACATAGAGTAACTGAATTATGTTAATTATTTCTCTATACCAAACTGCTATAACTACATAGGAAAAATTTGCATGTCGGTTACCAAGCCAACATAATTAACAATAGAAAGCTATTGTACTTGGGGATGATCCAGAGAAGTGTATTTAAAGTAGCCATTCGAATCAGATGGGCTAACACTCCAGAGGCAACACAAGAAGCAGAAACCTTGGGAGCAAGAACAGCTTCAACCTCAGTTCAGCCAGCTGTAACCAGGATAGTATAAACTTCAGTACCATCTTGTGCTTCCAAAGCAGATTTTAAACCAGTGTGTGAACAAGGTAGTTTAAGAACTGTAAGTTTACATGGGAAATTAGAGGGAAAGACAGATTTCATAGAATTGCATATGTACACACACATGTTGTGTTTCAACAATAATAAACCACGTCTCATCATTAGTGTAAAATGAGTCCCAGTAAGTAAGTAAATAAATCAGACATATGAAAACAACACTTACACTTCCACACTTCCACTTTCCGAAGTCCCCTCAGGATCCTTTATGTATCAATAAGTTCACCTCTCATTGTTTTAAGCTCAAAATGGATAGAAACGCAACATGTTGATTCCTTCATCATAAGATAACCTTTTCACGCCAGGTATCAGTCAAGTAAGCCTTCTCTGGACTGCTTCTATGACATGTATTTTCTTTCTGAAATACGGGGTCTAAACTGTACTCTACTGCAGATGTGGCCTCAGCAATACCATAACATATTCCATTCACTTTTTAATAAATGACAACATCTCATTTGCCTCCCTAAACGCATGATTTACCTACATGTAAACATTGTGATTCACGCCCAGGACAACCAGAACCCTCTGTACCCCACAGGCCTGTAATCTCTCTCCATTTAACTCTTATGCTACCTTTCTATTCTCTCTGCCAAAGTGGACAAGTTCATATAATCCTGCATTATGTTAGATCTCCTAAACTTTTGCCCACTCACTTAACCTATCTATATGTCTTTACAGACATCTTACATTTTCTTCACATTTAACTTTCCTACCTATATTTTCATTGTTGGCAAATTTAACAATCATACTTTCAGTTGTCTATCTAATAATTTATATAAATTGTAAATAGTTGAGGCCCCATCACTGAAACCTGCGCTACGCCACTCTGTAGTGATTGTAATGAGGTCAGACAGGTAGAATATGAGTGCCTTATTTGGGGCTGTTTAATGTGGTCCAATCAGGGAGCCCGAGCTGATAGATATAAACAGGAGGGTCAAGGTTCTGGTCACTCTGACAGCCAGATGTGAGGAAGCTGGATCAGTGTCAATGACTCCCCACATGTAAATAAAGGGTGACTTGGTGACTGGATATTGGTCTCTGTGGAGTTATTTCAATGTCAATGAGAGAAAAGCACGCTTCTGAAGAACTTTATCTCGCAACAGTTGTCTTTGAGTTGGGGTCGGTATTTCTGGCTTCCTGCCGTTGTTTGCGAAGCTTGACTCACTCAATCCTGCCATCAAAGACTGGGCCAAGCATGTGGAAAGAATTTGTTATTTTTCCAGCCAAGTGATATTGGGGCAGATGAAAAGCAACAAGAAATTCTCCTGAGATAGCAGGAACTGCAGATGCTGGAAAATCTGAGATAACAAGGTGTAGAGCTGGATGAACACAGCAGGCCAAGCAGCATCATAGGAGCAGGAAGGCTGACGTTTCCGGTCTAGACCCTTCATCAGAAATGGGGGAGGGGAAGGGGGTTCTGAAATAAATAGGGAGAGAGGGGGAGGCGGATAGAAGATGGATAGAGAAGAAGATAGGTGGAGAGGAAACAAGCAGGTCAAAGAGGCGGGGATGGAGCCAGTAAATGTGAGTGTCGGTGGGGAGGTAGGGAGGAGATAGGTCAGTCCAGGGAGGACGGACAGGTCAAGGGAGCGGGATGAGGTTAGTAGGTAGGAAATGGGGGTGCGGCTTGAGGTGGGAGGAGGGGATAGGTGGGAGGAAGAACAAGTTGGGGAGGCGGGGACGAGCTGGGTTGGTTTTGGGATGCGGTAGGGGGAGGGGAGATTTTGAAGCTTGTGAAATCCACATTGATACCATTGGGCTGCAGGGTTCCCAAGCGGAATATGAGTTGCTGTTCCTGCAACCTTCAGCTGGCATCGTTGTGGCACTGCAGGAGGCCCAGGATGGACATGTCGTCTGAGGAATGGGAGGGGGAGTTGAAATGGTTTGCGACTGGGAGGTGCAGTTGTTTATTGCGAACTGAGCATAGGTGTTCTGCAAAGCGGTCCCCAAGCCTCCGCTTGGTTTCCCCGATGTAGAGGAGCCCACAACGGGTACAGCGGATGCAGTATACCACATTAGCAGATGTGCAGGTGAACATCTGCTTGATGTCGAAAGTCTTCTTGGGGCCTGGGGTGGAGGTGTGGGGGCAGGTGTAGCACTTCCTGCGGTTGCAGGGAAAAGCGCCAGGTGTGGTGGGGTTGAAGGGGAATGTGGAGTGGACAAGGGAGTCACAGAGAGAGTGGTCCCTCTGGAAAGCAACTAAGGGTGGGGAGGGAAAAATGTCTTTGGTGGTGGGGTCGGATTGCAGATGGCAGAAGTGTCGGAGGATGGTGCGTTGGATCCGGAGGTTGGTGGGGTGGTACGTGAGGACGAGGGCGATTCTGTTTTGGTTGTTATTGCGGGGAGGGGGTGTGAGGGATGAGTTGCGGGAAATGCGGGAGACACGGTTGAGGGCGTTCTCGACCACTGAAGGGGAGAAGTTGCGGTCCTTGAAAAACGAGGACATCTGAGATGTACGGGAGTGGAATGCCTCATCCTGGGAGCAGATGTGGTGGAGGCGAAGGAATTGGGAATAGGGGATGGCATTTTTGCAGGAAGATGGGTGGGAGGGGGTGTATTCTAGGTAGCTGTGGGAGTCGGTGGGCTTGAAATGGATATCGGTTTCTAGGTGGTTGCCCGAGATGGAGACAGAGAGGTCCAGGAAGGTGAGAGAGGTGTTAGAGATGGTCCAGGTGAACATAAGGTTGGGGTGGAAGGTGTTGGTGAAGTGGATGAACTGTTCGAGCTCCTCGTGGGAGCACGAAGCGGCACTGATACAGTCATCAATGTAACGGAGGAAGAGGTGGGGGATAGGGCCAGTGTAGCTTTGGAAGAGGGTCTGTTCCACGTATCCTACAAAGAGGCAGGCATAGCTTGGGCCCATGCGGGTACCCATGGCCCCCCCCTTTGTCTGTAGGAAGTGGGAGGAGTTGAAAGAGAAGTTGTTGAGGATGAGGACAAGTTCGGCTAAGCGGATGAGGGTGTCAGGAGGGGGACTGGTCGGGCCTGCGGGACAGGAAGAAGCGGAGGGCCCTTAGGCCATCTGTATGGGGAATGCAGGTGTATAGGGACTGGACGTCCATGGTAAAGATGAGGT